GCAGAGAGCATTACCTTCCTGAAACTTCATTTAATTATGGTGGAGCTGAATTTAGTGTGCTTGATGTACACGGTACTCATCTGTTTTTTATTATAAAATCTAATTTTTTAAATGGGTCTATTTTTTTATAAGATCTTTTTTGAGTTTGTCCAAGCATTTAATGTATTATTATCTATTTTACTCTTAATTTAATGCATTTAATACATTCTCTTTTTTCATTTATCTTATTGTTATTCTCTCGGATTTACCCATTTATTTATAAGTGTATATTTGAAAAAAAATTGTATTTACTACATATTAATTGCTTTTAACTAATTTTAATTGTTTTCTTAAACCACACAATTTAATTAAAAAGATCTTACAATAAAGGACGGAAAGAGCATGGTGTATGGCGTCTAGGCCAAATAAAATATTCTCCCCACTTTCTTACAAGCTGGTACCCCTCGCAATGATATAAAAGTCAGTTGAAATTTTGATTTTGATTTTAAATATAAAATTTTAATTTATTTTTTCCTCAAATTTATAATCTCTTGTTTAAATATATTAAGGGGTTACTAACAAATAATTTTCCTCAAATTTATAATCCACTATATAAATTTATAATCCAGTTATATTTCTTTGAGTATTGAGTTTCAGTCCCAGAGGAGACACTTTTATTAGGAGGGAAAGTCACGGACTCCGAACTGGATTAGTTGGATGATAATATCAAAAATATAAAAAACAAAACAATTGGTTGACCTTCTTATGAAATAGAACCAAAATGAAACCACAAAAGTAGAAAGATGAAGACAAGAGAATGAGAGAACTTTTGTATTTCTTCACTTGCATTACAACACAAATGACATGCCCTATTTATAGGCATAGTCTTACAAATAGGTTACAATTGTTCTTAAATGACAAATAGTGGATAATCAATCCCATGAATGTGAATGGAGGTGAGTTACAAGAGTGAATGGGTAGTGGAGGAGTAATGGATGATGGAGGTAGTGGAAGTTACTTGGAGAAGATGAAGAGGAAGGGGTAAATGGACATCCACACAATATTCATAACACTCCCCCTTGGATGTCCATTATACAAATATGTGCCTCGTTAAAAAACTTCAACTAGGAAAAACCCTGTGGGATAAAAACCTAGAAGAAGAAAAAGAGTACACATTTATTGATATGCTATTAAGTGCTGCCTCATTAAAAACCTTACTAGGAAAAACCCAATGGGATAAAAACCATAGTCAAGGAAAAAAGAGTACAGCATGTGTTAACTCCCCCTCTTGGTAATATCAGTTGATATCTCTGAGTCTACGACATCCGATATCATGAACAAGCTTTTCAAATGTTGTACAAGGAAGTGACTTGGTGAACAAATCTGCTAGATTTTCATTGGAACGGATTTGTCGGACGTCGATTTCACCATCCTTTTGAAGATCATGAGTGAAGAAGAATTTTGGCGAAATATGTTTTGTTCTATCTCCTTTGATGTACCCTTCCTTTAGTTGCGCAATACATGCAGTATTATCTTCATATAGAATTGTCGGGATCATTTTGCTGGAAGACAAGCCACAAGTGGTTCGTATGTGATGTATTATCGATCTTAACCATACACATTCTCTACTTGCTTCATGTATTGCAAGAATTTCTGCATGATTAGATGATGTGGCTGATATGGTTTGTTTCATAGAACGCCATGAAATGGCTGTACCACCATATGTGAACAAATAGCCTGTTTGTGATCTACCGACATGTGGATCAGACAAGAATCCAGCATCTGCATAACCAATGAGGTTAGTTTTGGGTACATTTGAGTAGAATAACCCCATGTCCATAGTACCCCTGAGGTAACGAAGAACGTGCTTAACTCCATTCCAATGTCTTCGTGTTGGTGACGAGCTATACCTTGCTAGTAGGTTAACAGCAAATGATATATCAGGTCGTGTGTGACTAGCAAGATACATGAGTGCACCAATTGCACTAAGGTATGGTACTTCTGGACCAAGTAGTTCTTCATCATTTTCTTGAGGTCTAAAAGGATCTTTATCTTTCTCCAAAGACCTTACAACCATCGGAGTACATAATGGATGTGATTTATCCATATAAAAACGCTTTAAGACCTTTCTTGTATAGGTTTCTTGATACAAAAAGATCCCATTTCTTGAATATTCAATTTGCAATCCAAGACAAAATTTTGTTCTTCCCAAGTCCTTCATTTCAAATTCTTTCTTTAAGCAACCCATAGCTTTTGCAAGCTCTTCAGGAGTTCCAATGATATTTATATCATCAACATAAACCGCAATTATCGCAAACTCATTTCCAGATCTTTTCATAAAAATACATGGGCAAATTGGATCATTCTTGTATCCCTCATCTGACAGATATTTGCTTAAACGGTTATACCACATACGCCCTGATTGCTTCAATCCATACAGAGATTTATTTAACTTAATTGAGTATTGCTCTCGAGAACTTGAATTGTATGCTTCCGGCAACTTGAATCCTTCAGGGAGTTTCATATAAATATCATTGTCAAGTGAGCCGTATAAATAGGCTGTAACAACATCCATCAGACGCAAATCGAGTCCTTCTTTTACTGCCAGACTAATTAAATATCGGAAAGTAGTTGCATCCACCACTGGTGAGTATGTTTCTTCAAAATCGATACCAGGTCTTTGTGTAAATCCTTGGGCAACAAGCCGTGCCTTATGTCTTACAATTTCACCATTTTCATTTCTTTTTCTCACAAAAACCCATTTGTATCCGACTGGTTTTACATCTGCAGGTGTATGGACTACAGGTCCAAACACTTTTCGCTTTTCCAGTGAATTCAATTCAGCCTCAATTGCATCTTTCCATTTTGGCCAATCTTTTCTTTGTTTACATTCACTAATAGACTTTGGTTCATGATCCTCATCATCATTCATCACATCAAGCGCTATATTATATGCAAAAATATCGTCAACATTGACTTCATTTCGATCCCATCGTATTCCATTCATAACATAATTTATTGAGATCTCATCATTTTCGCACATTTCAGGTAGTTGATTTTCTTTTGGAATTGAGACATTAGCATTATCTAATGACTCCTCTTGAATTGCAATTCTTTCTTGATTATCCTCGACTTGGCCATCTACATTTTTAGCTCCTTTTCTCTTTCGAGGATTTTTATCTTTGGAACCAATGGGCCTGCCACGCTTCATGCGTGCTTTAGATTCATTTACAATAGCAGGTTGTCCAACAGGGACATCAATTTTGATAGGAGCATTAGCAGCTGGAACATGTGATTTGGTCACTTTCTTTGGGTCAGTAAATGCGTCTGGCAACTGATTAGCTAACCTTTGTAAATGAATTATCTTTTGAACTTCTAGTTCACATTGTTTTGTACGAGGATCAAGTTGAGATAATGAAACTTCCTTCCAACTAATCTCTTTTTCCAACTGCTTCTTTTCTCCCCCTAATGTTGGAAATTTTGATTCATCAAAATGACAATCGGCAAATCGAGCCGTAAATAAATCTCCTGTTGATGGTTCTAGATATTTTATTATAGAAGGAGATTCATATCCAACATATATTCCCATCCTTCTTTGGGGACCCATCTTAGTACGTTGTGGTGGAGCAATAGGAACATATACTGCACTTCCAAAAATTCTTAGATGGGAGATATTAGGTTCCTGACCAAAAACCAATTGTAAAGGGGAGGACTTGAGATAACTTGTTGGCCTGATACGAATTAATGTTGCTGCATGCAAAATTGCATGTCCCCAAGCATAATTTGGGAGATTTGATCTCATCAGTAATGGTCTTGCAATTAATTGTAGTCGTTTAATTAATGATTCTGCAAGTCCATTTTGTGTATGAACATGTGCTACAGGATGTTCAATATCAATTCCAAGAGACATACAATACTCATTGAAAGCTTGTGAAGTAAATTCACCAGCATTATCCAAACGTATTCTTTTGATTGGATAATCAGGAAAATGTGCTCTTAATCTAATTAGTTGAGCAAGCAACCTTGCAAATGCTAGGTTACGAGAGGATAATAAGCAAACATGTGACCACCTTGTTGATGCATCAATTAAAACCATGAAATATCTAAATGGTCCACATGGTGGGTGTATCAGTCCACAAATATCCCCTTGTATACGTTCTAGAAATGTGAGAGACTCACTTTCTATTTTTGCTGGTGATGGTCGAATGATTAACTTTCCTTTAGAACATGCAGCACATGAGAAAACATGTGATTGTGGAATCTGTTGACTTTTCAGTGAATGTCCACATGAATTCTCAATTATTTTTCGCATCATAATAGTCCCGGGATGGCCTAACCGGTCATGCCAAATGTTAAATTTATTCTCACTTGTAAACTTCTGGTTTACAATAGCATGTGTTTCAATTGTGCTAATACGTGTGTAGTATAAGCCTGAAGAAAAGGCAGGTAATTTTTCTAGAATGCATTTCTTATCAGAAATTAAGTTTGTGATAACCAAGTATTCTTGATTTCCTTCATTTATTGTTTCAACATGATATCCATTTCTGCGGATATCCTTGAAGCTCAATAAATTTCTATTAGACTTGGTAGAGTAAAATGCATTATCAATATGTAATTTTGTTCCTTCAGGTAGTAATACATCAGCTCTTCCAGAGCCTTCAATGAGATTTATACTTCCAGATATAGTCTGAACATTGGCTTCTCGCATTACCAGAGAAGAGAAATATTTCTCATTTCTGAGTATTGTGTGAGTTGTTGCACTATCAACGAGACACAAATCTTCATTATTGATGTCAATAATGGTCATTCTTCATGAAAAAAAACATAGGAAAAGATTAAAAAGAAAACATTATTAATAAAAGAAAATATAATTTTATCATGAATAAAAACTCATAATTATATTTATTTTGGGGGTAATAACCTTACAAGTACAGAATTTATTGTGGTAGGTGAAAGAGCACACTTATAAGCAAAACATGAAAATATGCTTAATTATAGAAACTCAATTACATCAAGATGACTCATTTTTTAACACTTCCATCACCAATTAAGTGATCAATTCTTCCATCAGGATCGTCAAAGAAATCAGCAACATCCAAATGAGTAACATCCATGTTGCCATAATCAGAATCGCCTTCTTCTCCTACAAAATTTGTTTCCACCTTTGGCTCTTTGCCTTTATTTTTATTCTTATTCTTATTTTTCAGCGATTCTTGATAGAGGTCAACCAAATGCTTTGGCGTACGACAGGTACGAGACCAATGACCCTTGCCACCACAACGATAACAAAGATTTTCAACATGATTATTATTTCCACTAGATTCTTTTTGGTGATGCTCATCATTATTTGCCCACTTCTGGTGGGAACGACCACCTCCACGACCACGGCCACGTCCACGGCTACGCCCATGGCCACGACCACGACCCCGTCCACGTCCACGACCATGGCCACGGGTTGATTCAGTTGCCACTACATTCGCTTCTGGGAATGGAGTGGAGCCAGTAGGACGGGATTCATGATTCCTCATTAAAAGCTCATTATTTTGCTCAGCCACAAGCAAGCAAGAAATTAATTCAGAATATTTTTTGAAACCTTTCTCACGGTATTGCTGCTGCAGGAGCACATTGGATGCATGAAATGTGGAAAATGTTTTTTCTAACATATCTTCATCAGTGATCTTTCTCCACATAATTTCAGTTGAGAACTGATTCTAAACATTGCAGAATTATATTCGATCACAGATTTAAAGTCTTGTAAACGTAAATGCATCCAGTCATAACGAGCTTTAGGAAGGATTACAGTTTTCTGATGGTCATACCTCTCCTTTAAATTGTTCCAAAGAACAAGTGGATCTTTTACGGTCAAATATTCAGTCTTGAGCCCCTCATGCAAATGGTGACGTAAAAAGATCATGGCTTTGGCTTTATCTTGGTTGGATGCTTGGTTGCCTTCCTTGATTGTGTCTCCTAGACCATTGGCATTTAGATGGATTTCCGCATCTAATATCCATGATAAATAATTCTTTCCAATAATGTCAAGAGCCACAAACTCAAGTTTCGTGAGATTTGACATGATGATACTATCATATAAAAAGTTAAATGAAAATTAATATTAAGAGAATAGAATAGTTATGAAACAAATCAATGTGAATAAGAAAATGGAATAATTATAAAACAAACCATTATAGAATGATATAGAAATTTACCTTCTAGTTGATTAGCCTTACTACAACACCTTCCGATTACAAGAGCGCTTCGTGCTGATAACGTCTTATGAAATAGAACCAAAATGAAACCACAAAAGTAGAAAGATGAAGACAAGAGAATGAGAGAACTTTTGTATTTCTTCACTTGCATTACAACACAAATGACATGCCCTATTTATAGGCATAGTCTTACAAATAGGTTGCAATTGTTCTTAAATGACAAATAGTGGATAATCAATCCCATGAATGTGAATGGAGGTGAGTTACAAGAGTGAATGGGTAGTGGAGGAGTAATGGATGGTGGAGGTAGTGGAAGTTACTTGGAGAAGATGAAGAGGAAGGGGTAAATGGACATCCACACAATATTCATAACAGACCTCTTGTAGTCGTTTATTAAGCACTATAAGTGTTCAATTTCTTTGAAAACGCATCCTGTTGCGCTTCATCAGGGGAAATCTACATAAGGAGTTTCTTTTTCTTAAAAGAAATTGAAATCTTATAATGTCGTTTGGCATGACAGATTAAGGATGAGAGGTAGACATTGAGATTAAAAAAACTCACTGAAAAATATTTAGTATATATGATTGCTTATCAGTTAGGATTAGACAAACCCATATAGCTGGGATTGAAAAATATCATGGAGGGAGGTGATATTCTCCAATTATAGGTTTGCTCAATCCCAAATAACAAACAATCCCCTCATAATAAACACTCCTTTAATAATATTTTTCAATCACAATCCCAATTTCTACCCAAACAAAAACATAGTGCTTTCTCCCAAAAAAGCCACAGGAGGCATTCCCCCCAATTAAAAAAAAAAAAAAAAACCTCCCCCGACAAGATCATGCCGGAACTGCCGAACCCATCCTCTCCATTTTCTTTATTTTTCCCTTTCTTTTCTCTTCTTGCCCAACCGTGCAATCCCCATCACATATACAATCTTCTTCCCACCCACGGTCTCCAACACCCCCCCAGGAAAAAAAATTTTCATTATTTATGTCTTTTTATTAGGGCTTAGTGGAAGTTTTCTGCTCGCGTAGGTGATGTTGTTAATAAAAGAAACCTAACATTAATATATATATATATATATATAAAGTCAAAAAATAAATACTCCTCCGGTCCTAAATGTAAGACCCTTATACACACTAGTATAAGGGTCTTACATTTAGGACCGGAGGAGTATTTGTTTACTATTAAAATGAAAAGACAATTTTCCGGGGTTATGCTTGCAACTTGATATAATATATTGTTGCTTTTTCGCAAAACCCTGTCCAGTAGTGCACACTGAATTCTCAGCATGAAAATTGACATAAATAGGGTGAGAAGACTTCTTCAATGTCTAGTTGGTTAAGAAATAAAAAATAAGCAAGACTTCGTTTTCAATTTTGGAAGTTTTCCTGGTGGTTGATAATTCATTGTTTTAATATATAGATTTATATTAATATAGAAAATAGGGCAAAATAAATATGTACTCAAGTACACATATTGTGAAAATAAACTTGGCTTTAATTTCTTGGAAAAAAAGAAAGAGAGCAGACACATTGATGATCTGTAACTAAGTATTTAATTCGTACCTTCATCAACTAGATACCAATATCACGTGATAATATAATTGCTGAAATGCCATACAAGAGAACAAATTGGCTTCATCTTAAGACTAAAAAATTGGTTTCAAAAGTTGTGTAGATTTTTGTATTTACTAAGGCAACTGTTGCATCATTATATGTCCTTGCGCGCGCGCGCGCGCGCGGCCACACACACACACACACATATATCCCAGGTTGATTCCAAATAATATTTAGTACCATGCAATATTTTGATGTGAAACTAAATAAAGTATTTGATATATGTCTAAGATAATATTATTCTTTGTTTGGTAATGTTTTTTATTTTAACAACGGATAAGATAAAAATTGACTCCATTGCCAGAAATGTTCTTTAGTGAAAAATATAATATATTTAATTAAATATATTATAATATGTTAAGTTTTTGATAAAGATTTAAAGGATTAAGATGTAAATTTATCCTGAAAGTTTTTGTTCAAGAATGCTTAGCATTTGAATTTTTTTTTGGCGCAAATTTGCCTCTAAAATTTTAAATCATAGCAACTTTACTTTCTAATGTTAAAAATATTAACAGTCAATATTACTATTTTAACAGTTAATGTTATTTTTTGGGTTAAGGGTCAAAAATGCTTATGAAAATTACCAAAAGCTCACCCAACACCATAAAATTTTTTTGGATTCAAATCTATCAATCCAAGTTTAAAAAGAGGTCAATAATATCATTGCCGTTAATATTCATTTTTTTAGTAGTAGGACCCACAATTTTTTTAATGAAATTACTAAAATACCCCCAATTAAAATAAAAAAGTTAAGGGTCAAAAATACCCATGAACTTGCATTGAAAGTTCACAAAATATCATATAATTTTTAATGAAAGCATGAAAATACCCCGAATCTCAAAAGGCTATTGCATTAGAATGTGTTAGAGATTATTAATTATAATAAATTTTTATAATTAAAATAACTCGTGAAAAAAATTAAACTTAAATTGAATTGCTCTTTGAATATAAGTTATTTATATTCCCAATCATTTCTTTTAATAGGCATTATAGGTATCTTTTAAAAATAAGTTGTTTGTATCAACCACATATGAAGTTATGCTTATCCTCTAGTCTATGTTATCAAATTTAACGATTAATTTGAATTCTTTTTTACATTTATATTTAATTCTTTGAGAGAATTTAAAGCCACTTTTGATAATGAAACCCATTATTCTTAATAAAAGTACCAAAATATTCCTAGTAAAGGGGGAAAAAAAACAGAAACCACCATCTTCTTTTAACCTGCTGATGTTCCTTTTGGCTCATCTTTTTTTTAAGTAAAAAGCCCGTCTTTTTATAAGATGGATTCATATTCTTTATTTTAATTAAACTTTAGAGCGCCCTCATTTTTCCCCCGTAGAATTAAGTAATTTTTTTAAAATTGAATTAAAAATATGAAAAAAATCAAATGAATACTAATCAAAGGATTAAAATGTAAACATTTATTTTTTTTAACTTTATTTAACAATTCTCTGGAGTTAAACCACTCCGGGATAAGCAATAATGATGTTAAAATATAAAACATGATAAGTTACAAAAAGATATTTAATTATTATGTATAAATTTATCCTATTAAAATATTTTGAGCCATAACAATTAATATAATAACTATAACAATTTTCTGATTTTTATAAAAAAAGAAAAAATTGTTGCTCAAGAAAAAAATTTATTAAGAAGAATTAATAATCTTTTTTAATTATAAAGATTGGGAAATAAAAATTTATTATAATTAATAATCTCTAACACACTCTAATGGAATAACCCTTCAAGATTTGGATATTCTTGTACTTTTATTAAAATTATATGGTGTTAGGTAAACTTTTGGTATAAGTTCATGGGTATTTTTTATTTTTAACTTTTTTATTGGGGGTATTTTAGTGTTTTTATTAAAAAATAATGGGTCCCACTGCTAAAAAAAATAGATGTTAATGGTACTGGCATTATTGACCTCTTTTTCAACTTCCATTGGTAGATTTGAACCCAGAGAAAGTTCATAGTGTTAGGTGAGCTTTTGGTATATTTTTATGAATATTCTTGACCCTTAACCGTTAACTTCTTAATAGTATAAGATAAAATTGCTATGATTTTAAATTTTCATGATAAATTTGAATAAAAAAATTCTGAACACCAAGCACTTCAGAGTGAAAATTCCAGAGCAAATTTATAACTAAACCCAAATATAAATTCATCGACATTATGTCAAAAAACTGTTCATTTCAACGGCTCTGCGTTATATATCCCGCTTACTCCCTTCATTACTATGAGTTAAATCTACAAGAACATGAATATTCAAGTACGAACTAGAAAATACATTATATTATATTAATCAATTATTTGTTACAGCTGGAAGGCAAACAATGCTTTGTGCTTTCAAATTTGATTGGTGAAGAGCATTATAATTAAAACATTGGTTTAATTTATTCTCCATGGCCTCATCATAATGAAAGAAGACTAATCAGAACTCCTTTTTGTTTTATTTAATAGAGGCACAAGCACTAATCACTTGAAATTACAAGTGAAATTAAAATTATAACCACCTACTTACAAGAAAGTATTCATACTCCAAAGTAAATAAAATAGTAGAAATGCAAATGACACAACTTTTGCGGTTAGACCAAAATTGGGTCAACACGTAATTTTGAAACAATTTGAGTCGAAAGGGTAGTTATAAAATTTATGTTCGAAATTAAAAAAAAACTTAAAAATTCATGAAAAATAGAGAAAAATTTTTCAAGTTATACGTGAGGCTCATGAGTCCCCAAAAATCAATATGCTGCCTTTTTTGTTTGCCCCACTTTCATTCCATATATAAATATATTTCTTTTTAAATGTAGCTCTTTTAAAGGAAATATTAGATAGAAAAGAAGAGCCAATGTACTTTAGAGATGAGCGAGGTAACCCTCCTCTTCATCACGCGGCATCCGGATTACGTTGAACGTGTTCGTGAACTTTGAAAGAAATCAAACCTAATTGCCTTTAAATGAAACTCTTATAGTAATCTTCCAATACATGTTGCTTGTCCAAGGGGCTATGTTGAGGCGGTAAAAGAATGGCTTCAAGTAGAAGAGCCTAATACCAGATTTTGGCTGAATAATAAAGGTCAAAACATTCTTCACATTGCAACAGCGAGTGGACAAAACAATATGGTGAAATTCCTATTCAAACGTTCAGATTTGGAATAGTTTATAAGTAGCTTTTTAATCATAATTTGAGGAATATAATTATGTACGTGAGAGAAGTTTTCTCTTGGCATATGTAAA